ACACAGTAAGGAAGTAGACAGCAGTGCTCCGGCTCCAGAAGCAAGGCCTCTCATCACAGATCGCCCCACAAAACGCTGTCCATCCTGGCTACTCAATCGATTTAAATTGCTTTGTTTGGGTACTGGCGATATCCATTCACTCTGTGCTAGCAGCTCTAATCTCTTCAGTTACCCGAAGAGCTGCCGCCTTAAGTATCTTTGTGAGCAACATCAGTTGTGTGTGTCTTTTGGACTCTGGAAAGCTTTGACCTTCACAGATTAAAACCTTGATGTAGCTATGGAAAGCAAGGATTTACCTCTAGGGACCAAGTGGGCACTGTAGTAATAAGCGGAGCTAGAACAAGCAGACAAAATTGTGCATAGCTTGGTCTCTATACTCAACTGTTGGGGCTTGCACACTTGGTGGGACTCACTGATCTCTGCTTGAACCAGAAACTATACCTCTCCAAGAGTCTCAATGTCAAGGATGTCTATCCTAGCAGCAATGGCAGGGAGAAGGATGTCTCAGTAGACATCCTCTTCTAGCTAAATGACAGAATGTGCATTGGGGAGGCATCCACAGGAGCTACCAGGGTAGTAATTGACTTTCATCTATCTACCATCCACTAAGAACTTATCAAGGAGACCTATGATCAGCTAAGTCACCACATCCCACACTGTCCATCTCTGTCAAACACAAGATAACTCCAAGCTCCGCATCTCACTTCCATCTTCTCTCCCTTTTCTGCTTACACCATGTTGATGGCCTTCTCAGGTTCTGGCCATGCTTCTAGCTTCTGTTTTTGTTCCTATTTAACAAATGTGGAAATGAACAGCATACAGTCTTTAGCCTTGGGTCACGGATGGTAGGTAGTGGGACAGAGGAACCATACTGAGAACACAACCACCAGAGCACACACCCTCTCCCTGGTAAGCTCTCTGTCTTGTCCACGGTGACTTTCTTGTCCCTCACCCTTCTCATCTTAGCTTCCAGCTCTCCACCAGCCACCGACTCTCTGGCAGCTTCTGTGGCTTCTTTCGGGACTTCTGGGGGCAGTTTCAGGAGGAAAATGGTGCAATGCTCTAAAATCTGACTTGTGATAAGGCAGACTTTGCCATTCAACAGGAACACAGAAGTAATTGCACCCAGCCAATTAGAGATTAAGGGTGTCTGAGCGGAAAGGTGTGCCAGACTCAGAAAGACAAATGCCACATGTTTTCCTTCACAAGTAGGTTCTAGATGTGTGGGTCGGAGTTTCTAAGTCATGAAACTGGAGAGGGAACTATGAGAGGGAGGAGAAGAGATCACGGGGAGGAAGAAGAAGAAGAAGAAGAAGAAGAAGAAGAAGAAGAAGAAGGTGGTACTGGATGTATGTGACACAAAAGGAGAACGAGGCTACTGGGGACAAAAGGGATGGGCTAGGAGGCCAGAGGAGGGAAGTGTGGGTGAGGACCAATAAAAACAAAACCTGTATAGAAATTCCATGACACCCATTTTCGTTTGTATGCTAACATGAAAAAACACACAGAAGACTAACTAACATGACTAAGGGCATAATTACAAAGGCATTAAAATAGTTATGTTTGTTTAACAATAAATATAAATAAAGAGAGGAGGTATACAATCTCTGCTAAGTTGATGGGTTACAGACTTGGACCAGGAGCTGGGCGGTGGTGGCACACGCCTTTAATCCCAGCACTAGGGAGGCAGAGGCAGAGGCAAAGGCAGAGGCATAGGCAGGCAGAGCTCTGTGAGTTTGAGACCAGTCTGGTCTATAAGAGCTAGTTCTAGGGCAGCCTCCAAAGCCACAGAGAAACCCTGTCTCAAAAAACCAAAACCAAAACCAAAACCAAAACCAAAACCAAAACCAAAAAACGAAAAACAAAAACAAAACAAAACAAAAAAACAGAGTTGGCTCAGTGATTAAAGAGCATTTACTGCTCTTACAGTGGACTAGGGTTTGGTTCTTCCCAGCTGCATGATGGTTCAAATCTACCTGCAGCTTCTGGCTCTGGATCTTACACCGTCTTCTGGTCTCTACAGGTACTGCACACACATGGGGTATACAAATATGAAGGCAAAAAACTTAACACATGTAAAATAAAATATAATACAATTTACAATTCCTGCTAGGTTGGATTGTATACTAATTTCACCAGGTTGAAGTCAAATAAACACGAATATTAGAGTGAGTTAGGAGACCTCTAAAGTCTGATCAATTTATTCCATATAAAATATAAATTCGTTAAAAACTAATAGCCATAAATTAACTGGTGAGACCTCAAGAGGTAGAAATTTTGAGGCTCAAACATTTATTATAACCATGCTACTTGAAACTATCCTTGAATGGGTCCCCTAAAATATACTTAACCCATCTGTGTCAGGTGGGGAACACCCTGTGAAATCATACTTTCACGAGTGTAGAAAGCAAATCATTACAGATAATGTCTCCTTTGCTCGCATGCCAGGGCCGGAAACAGCCAGAGGAGACATCACTGAGGAAAGCAGAACACATAGCCACGCCCACAACAGACCAAGTGAGCAGAGTTCTAGTATATGAGTGCCCTATGCCCTGCCCTCCTGGTAAACACAATGGAAAACTGTAAATGGCTTGGGTTGGTAGGGGCCTATGAGATAGAACTGGTTTTGAGTTAGTAAGAATTCAAATGTTAGCTGGGTGGTGGTGGTGCACGCCTTTAATCCCAGCACTCGTAAGGCTGAGGCAGGTGGATCTCTGTGACTTCAAGGCCAGCTCCAGTACAGGCTCTAAAACTACAGAGAAACCCTGACG